TCTTTGAGGACCTATGTTCAGCGAAAATGATTGGCGGTGCTAGTGAACGCGATTACTACCTTGAGCAAAACAACCTTACCGGAAGTCAAGCACACTCCTCTAGTTCTGTAGGACCTATTCTCTTTGCTAATGAAATAATGTTATGCCACTATCATTTAGGCCACCGCGGTTTCAATTATTTACAACACCTGTTTCCAGCCTTATTTAGAAATAAAAGTATCTCTTCTTTTCAATATGAAGTGTGTCAAAGAGCTAAAACATCATATATCTATGTTCCCTCCTATAAAATATATTCCATTTAGACCACTTGTTCGTGCACATGGTGATAAATGGGGACCACCAAAAGATAAATATATAACGGGTACTAGGTGGTTTATAAATGTGAAATATATATTGTAGTCTATGTTATTCTTGTTATCAAATGTGATACAAGAAGCTATATTTATATCTATATTTAGAACACTAGGGTTTCCTATACTATACAAAATGGGTTATGCTCAATACTACTAGGGTTTTCACATTCCCCCTCATGTTGGAGCACATAAATCATATGTACCAAGCTTTTCACAAATATATCCCATTTTAGGACTTCTAAGAGATTTAGTTAAAATATGTGCAGGTTGATCAGTTGTGTTAGTATAGCTTCTGGTGATATGTCCATTCACGATCTTCTCTCTGATAAAATGGCAACCAGCTTTAATATGATTAGCCCTCTCATGATATACCGGATTTGATGCGATGTGCATTGCGGCTAGATTGTCACACATGAGTTGAACCGGTTTTGTGTTTTCATATTTTAACTATTGGAAGAGATGCTTCAACCATAAGGTTTCACATGTAGCAAGGGCCATTATACGATATTTTGCTTCAGCACTAGATTTGACAACCACATCATGTTTCTTACTTTTCCATGAAATTCAGTTTCCACCGACCAAGATGCAATTACCTGAAGTGGAACATCTATCCATCGGACATTCGGCCCAATCAGCATCACAACATCCCACAATATCATGGTTACTTCGGTCTTTGAAGAGCAATCCTTGTCCAAATGTTTTCTTGATGTATCTCAAAACCTGGATAGTTGCATCCTAATGTCCATTACATGGCTAATCAGAAACTGACTAAGTACGCTTACCGCAAATGAAATATTTGGTCTCATGATGGTAAGGTAATTCAGTTTGCCAATGAGTCTTTTATATTTTTCCCTATTGGGCAAAAGACCCCCTATTCTGACAAGAGTTTGACGTTTAGATCCATTGGTGTATGCAGTGGTCTCCACTCTAGTATACATGTTTCCTCAAGAATATAAAAGGCATACTTTCTTTGTGAGAGGACAATTCGCCAATTCCATTTTGAGATTGTGCAGCCTCAATGCCAAGGAAGTATCTCAACTTTCCCAAGTCTTTGGTTTGGAATGTGCTAAAATGATATTGCTTGAGGCGCAATTCCTTGTTCATCACTTCTTGTAATGACAATGTCATCAACATACACAATAAGATAGATACATTTATTGCCTGTAGAATGTCTTTAGAATAGAAAATAATCGACATCACTACGAATCATGCCAAAGCTGCGGATAACGACACTAAACCTCCCAAACTATGCACGTGGAGATTGCTTCAAGCCATATAACGAAGTAATCTGCATACCAAACCCTGCACGTGGAGGTTGCTTCAAGCCATATAACGAATGACGCAGTCTGCATGCCAATCCAGACTCCCCCAGAGCAACAAATTCAGGTGGTTGCTCCATATAAACCTCCTCGTACAGATCACCATGACGAAATGCACTTTTAATATCCAATTGGAAAAATGGTCAGTGACTCACTGATGCCATGAATAAAATCAAACGAACTGATGCAATATGGAATGTGGATTAAAGTAGGATGTGTACCTTTAAGCAGGGCAATGGGCAAATCATCCTGATTTTCTGTTGTTGGGGTAGCGGATGGTGATGATGCGAGATCTGTCATAGGGGAATCAACTGACGCAGCCACAAAAGGCTCAAGGGGAGGAGGTTGAGGACGTCGATGTAACGGACAGACGGCCATAGGAGAGCAATTTGGGTGATAATCAGATGGGGGTCAACAGTGAGTCTCTGGATGGATGAATTGGAGAAATGAGATGAAGTCCAAACAGGAAGGGGTATCAACTTAAGACAATGGATAATAAAAGGAAGACTAAATGAAAGTGACATCGGCTGAAATAAAATGTTTCTTAAATAATGAAGAAAAACAACGATAACCCTTTTGGAGTAGTGAATATCCAAGAAACATACATTTTATTCACCTAAGTGACATTTTAAGTAACTCAGATGTCGTATCATGGACAAAACACACACACCCTAACACATGAGGTGGTAATGGAAATAACTAGGAGTAGGAAACATGACAGAATAAGGAATTTCATTATTAAGAGCTGAGGAAGACATTCTATTTATTAAATGACATGGAGTGACTACAACATTTGCCCGATACCAAGGTGGTATATGTGAATGTAATAACAGAGTATCAACTAAGCGTCAATTCTTGCGTTCAAAACCCCCCATTTTGTTGAGGCATGTGAACACAAGAAGACAAGAAGATTAGTGAACCATAACCCGTGATTTCGTGAATTGATTAAAATGTGCCACAAAAAAAACTTTAGCATCGTTGCACCTGTGTATGGTCTTCACTCGATCGAACTTCGAACATAGGATGGATAATCTGGAGAAATCCTTGGAGCTCAGAGATGCGATCAATGATGGACGAACAGATGCACACACGGTTAGAGAAGATGCAAGTCTCGAAGTTCAGGGAAGTCATAGGAGAACTTGAGGTTGTTCTACGACCAAGCGCAAATGCCAGCCTTCTAGTAGCGGTGAATGCATCCAGCTCTGGAGGTGAGGCACATGAATCTCGGGTAAGAAGGTGGATTTACCACTGTTTAGTTGTGACGATGCTTATGCATGGTTGATCTTTGTCGAACGTTATTTTAAGCTATACCAGGTATCGGAGGATGACAAAGTGGAGGTAGTCTTGATCACCATGGCCGATAAGGCTCTTAACTGGTACCGGTGATGGGATGAACGGACCATTCTTGGGTTAACTTCAAAGAGGCTTTGATTAGGCGTTTCAAACCGGACTTAGTACAGAACCTGGTTGCTCCTATGCTCAGTATTATGCAAACAATGTCGGTAATGGAGTAAGGGATCTCTTTGAGATGGTTGTAGTTGATCATACCGACATTGTTAACTCGAGATCCTAGCTATTCCTAGAATCAAAGCTATTGTGTAATATATATTAATATATATCCATATAATTAAGTAAAATTTAAATTCTGGACTAATTCACCTATAATAATAAATATTAACGACCAAATAAGGGCATAACATAACGACCAAATATATCCAAATGTTTAGGTCCCACGGGGTTAATACTTGACAAAATCAGAACATGAGACACTTTTATACTAACTTATTAAAAAAATCAAACCAAAATATCTGTTTGTGTCTATCGGAGTGCCGCTCGGCGGTTGCGTCCTTGGAGTATTTTGTCGACGGTTCATAAGTTTTTCTTCTATTTTGTTTCATTTTTTGTTGTACAAGACCAGATCTGGCCTGGCTATTCAGTCTCTTGCGCAGATCGACGCAGTATGAGGGTCCACGTATTTTCCGATCTTAGCTACGATCCACATTGCCCAGTCACACCCTACTCGTAAGATCGGACGATCTTACGAGTTGACTCGCGATCTTAACAACCATGGATCGTACATTTTATATTTCTAGGCAAAAAATATTTAAAAAAAACTATTTGGATAATGTTTCTAGTTGCACCATGGTTGTCACGGCGTCGACTAGGCGCCGACTAGGCGTCCTGGCGATGGAGAAGGGTCGACATGGGAGATCGACTCGCCAGAAGAAGATAAGTCGCTCCTGGCGTCGTCCAGGCATCGACATGTCGTCCAGGCGCAGTCTAGGCGCACGCCAGGGGAAATTAAAATCTCAAATTCTCAATAAATTTGAGTTTAGAAGCCCAGCCCAAAATATGATTTAGAAAGTAGAAATTTAGGAACTGAAGCCTTCTGAAAGTCTGAAACCCGAAGGACAATCATCGACTCTCAAAACTTGAAGGCCAATCAACGATTCCCAAACACAGAGCATCGTTAGTCGCTACTTCTCTTATGTGTGCCTCTCTGTTGCAAGGTTGAAGACTACCTGCAGTTGCTGCTTTATCCTGCGTCGCAAGGTTGAAGACAACCTGCGATTCTAAGTCGCAAGGTTGAAGACGACCTTCGCTTCTTCTCCAGCCTTTTATTTTAGCGGCTCTTCACGTATATCACTTTATGTCTATATACTTCTTATTCTAGTATATTAATGCTCTGTATGTTTTCTATGCAATTAAGCACCAAGTAGTATACCCACTAAAGTAGTTTAATTAATTAAGTTGTACACATAGTCAAATGATTTTTTTATATATACATGCATACATAAACCTATTTTCCATTTATTAATTGTTGGTTTCAATTCTAGGTAATATACAATTTAATTAGTAATATATCATAAGTGGTACTTCCTCCGTTCCATAATTCTTGCAACATTGTGATTTTTACACTATTCACATATCTTACTTTGATCATGATTTTCTACTAATATACATAATCAAATTATTACGTATAAAGTGTTATTGAACTTTTATCAATGTGAATTTCCAAAATATCAACTTTTTATAATGTTTACTAATACATAATTAAATATAATTACAGTCAAAGTTGTGCATTGGCAAACGTGAAAGTCAAACTGTTGCAAGAATTATGGAACGGAGGATAGTATATAATATATATTAAATTGCAAATTAAATATATTCAAATATATATATATATATTAATATATATGAAATATAATATATTATATAATGTGCGACTGGTCGCCTAGGCGATATGGCGGTTGGCTCGCGCCGCGACTCGCCTTACCGCCGTGACAAGTATGAGGTGCACGCATTAGAAAGGCGATTAAATGCTTACCCATCATGGACACCACCAATATCTACAAAAGCTCCTTGATAAAGGTGTATTGCAGTCACTTTCCCTGCACAAATCTGCAAAGAACTTTCCAAAGTTTAATATTAACAATCATGGCAGTAACAAGATATCAGTTCTGCTCATTCAAATTGAGGGACGAAGACCTAGTGGGTGGCAAATAGTCACTAGTACAATCTAGACAATTAAAGGCAGAAGAGACTATAAAAATTAGAGAAAGAGAAATACAATGCATATTTTTTGAGAGAGACACGTATATATAACAAAGCATCATTATGGAAGGAAGCTGTAAAGATAGAAGTTGAGTACGGACACAAGGCATGCAAATTTCTCCACTTTCAAGCTTTTCTTTAATGAAAGTCTGGTCAATCTATATGTGCTTAGTACGGTCATGATGAACATGATTGTTTGATATATTTCAAATTTGTTGTCACAGAACATCTGCATGGATTGCTCAATTTCCTCTTTAATTTCCTTCAGGATTCTTCTTATCCAAATGAGTTCAAAACACCCGAGGCCATGACTCTATATTCTGCTTCGACACTAATGCGAGATACAGCATGTTGTTTCTTGCTCATCCATGTGACAAGATTACCCCACAGGAAAGTACAATATCTTAATTTTCCCGCCCAATCAGCATCTGTATATACTTCAAGTTTCATGCTCTCATTTTTTAACCAAATACCTTTGCTCGGACTTCCCTTTAGGTAGTGTAAGATTCTATACATAGCCTTAAGATGAGTTTCATTTGGACAATGCATAAACTGGCTTAACCAAGCTAACTGCACAAGCAACGTCAGGTCGTGTGTGAGAGATAGATGAGTTTCCCTACCAGTTTTTGATACCTGGTTGTATTTGTTGGAGTGTTCTTGTCGTCTAAAGAAAGCTTTTGGTTTGGATCAATGGGAGTATCAGCTGGTTTGCATCCGAGTAAGCTTGTCTCCTTTAGCAAATCCTCTGTGAAAGAGCTGTCCCTTTCTTTGACCTAGCCACTTCCATTCAACAACAACAACATCCAAGCCTTGATCCCAAAAGATTTTGGGCTCGGCTAACATGAATCTATTCATGATATCGATGCAAAAAAGAGAAGACAGACAAGAAGAAGAAGAAAAACGAATACGATAAAGATAAATAAATATAAGATAACAATAACATAAAAATATAAGAAAGATACAAAATAAAAAGACAAAAGAGCATAAAAAAGCTAGAAGATAAAAATAACATAAGAACTAAGGCCTTTAATTTCAAATTGCGTGGCTAAGAGTTGTTTTAGTTTCTCTCGTGCTGCGACATCATCACCTATCATTACAATATCATCCACATACATTATGAGAATGGCTTTCTTTCCACCTGAGGAGTGTTTGTTAAACAATGAGTGATCAGCTTGTGACTGAGTGTAGCTTTCTTGCTTAATGGTCTTTGCGAACCTCTCAAACCATGCGCTTGGAGATTGCTTTAAGCCATATAATGACTTATCTAACCTGCACACTTTTCCCATTGCGTTATCATTGTCAAAACCTAGTGGTATTTCCATGAAAACTTCCTCTTTTAATTCCCAATTGAGGAAAGCATTCTTCACATCAAACTGATATAAACGCCACTCATTATTTGTTGTTGACTATAAAGATCCATTTGTTACTTCATTATGTATGTTTGTGCAAAGCCCCAAGTGACCAGCCGTGCCTTGATCGGTGTTCATGTGTTTGACTATAAAGATCCATTTGTTACTTATTGTATGTTTGCCTCGAGGTTTGATCAGTGTCCACGTTTTGTTCTTTTTAAGAGCACGCATTTCTTCCTGAACTACCTCTTTCCAAGTAGGAATAGCTAGAGCTTCATGTATAGACTTCGGAATCTCATCATCAGTAATACTTGTAGTAAAGGTTATATAGCTAGAGGAAAGGTTAGCATAAGATAGATGATTAATAATCGGGTGTTTTGGGCATTCCCTAGTACCCTTTCTAAGAGGAATGGGAAGATCATGATTTGAATCAGTGATACGAACAAAATCAGACTCGGGAATATGAAAAATTACCTTAAATTATAGGCGGATCCAATGTTGACGATGCTAGCAAAGATGTTGGTGCCACCCCTTGAAGAGAACGACGGGAGTAATCATGAAGAATAGGTTGAGAAGTTGTTTGGGGACACAATGTTTCAGGAGAATGTGTTTTGGCTACGGGAGCATATTCAGTTTTTGCAAGAATCACCGGATTAGGTAGGACATATTGTTGATCTTCAAGTATAATTTCTTTCTCCCCTGAAGATTAGTTTTGGGAAAGAAAGGATATTTTCATAGAAAGTGACATCAATACTTACTATAACTCTACCCTTGTGTGGATAAAAACCTTTGTAACCCTTTTGAGTAGGGAAGAACCCAAAGAAGAGACATTATTTAGACTTCGGGTCAAGTTTAGTTCTATGTTGAGCATGAGTATGAACAAAAATTGTGTTGCCAAACACTTTGGTGAGAATGACCTATTGAGTGGGAAAGAGGATTGAAGAGTGTGTACCGGTGTGGCAAAACCTAAGACACGACTTGACATGCGATTTATGAGATATGATGTAGTAAGAATGGCCTCCCCTAAAATTTCATAGGATCATTCATACAAAACAAGAGAGAACGAGCAACGTCTAATAAATGTTTGTTTTTTTTAGCGATGTCGTTTAGTTAGGGGATATTGACACAGGAACTATGATGAATTATGCCTTCTTGAGTGTAGAAATCCCCTAAGATAGAATTAAAGTATTCATGACCATTATATGTTCTAAGAACTTGGATTTTATACTGGAATTGAGTGTGAGTCATGGAGTGGAATTGTTTGAATATAGATGTAGTTTGGGATTTTTCCTTTAGGATATAGATCTAAATTGAAATGTTATAAACCACCAAGTACCCGTAATATTTTTTTCTTGTGATGGTCCCAAATATCACCATGCACAAGAGCAAATGGTTTAGATAGAATATATTTTATAGAAGAAAAAACGGATCTATGATGCTTAGCTAATTGACACACTTCATATTGAAAAGAAGACATGTTTTTATTTCATTTCAAAATAAGGCTTGAAATATATGGTGTAAATAACTGAAACTGGGGTGGCCTAAACGATAGTGCCATAACATTATTTCATTAGCAAAAAAATAGGTTCGACAGAACAAGAGGAATGTGTTTGACTTTTAGTAAGATTGTCTTGGTCAAGGAAATAAGTTCATCACGTTCGCTAGCACTGCCAATCATCTTCGCCAAATATAGCTCCTGAAATATACAATGATTAGCATCAAACTTAAGAGTACAATTACTATCAGTAGATAGTTTAGTGATAGGTGAAGTTTTCTGTATATTCTTCTTCTTCAATGAATCATTTACAAGAAGTACATAAGCTATTTATACAGATAGGAGCCTGAGAGAGTCTATTCAGTACCCTAGATAAGCTAGGGTGACTGTCTGAATACTAAACATAAATGATTATGAACTGAAAAGACAACAGCTATTAATTACAACCTGAAACTCTAAAGACTCATAATTACAGTAATAAAAATCTTAAATTAAAGATGTCTCTTCGTTTTATCAACACTCCCGCTCAAGCTAGGTTTGTAGATATCCATCATGCCTAGCTTGACAATAAGACTCTGAAACCTGGGACTGTGCAAAGGTTTGGTAAACACATCTGCAACTTGATCCTCTGAGGGAGTATAGCTTAGTTCAATCAGACCTCCTTCAACCTTTTCTTTGATGAAGTGCCGATCAATCTCAATATGCTTGGTCCGATCATGTTGGACTGGATTATGAGCTATGCTGATTGCTGATTTATTATCACACCTCAATTCCATTGGTCCCTTCCACCTGATTCGTAAATCTGAGAGAATAATTCTGATCCATAGAAGTTCACACAAGCCATGGGCAAGGGCTCTTAGCTCAGATTCAGCAGATGATCGTGCCACAACATTCTGTTTTTTGCTTCTCCATGTCACAAGATTTCCTGCCAGGAAAACACAGAAACCAGTAGTTGACCGGCGGTCAACGAGAGAGCCACCATAATCTGCATCAGTGAAGGCTTGGACTGATAATTGCCCACCCTTCCTGAATACTATTCCTTGTCCAGGACTTCCTTTTAAGTAGTGTAGAACCCTATAGGCTGCTTCGAGATGCGGTTTCCTTGGATCATGCATGAACTGACTGAGGACACTAACCGCATAGGCAATGTCAGGTCTGGTATGAGAGAGATAGATAAGTTTGCCACACAAACGCTGATACATTGATGAATCAACCTTGGGTTCATCAGTAGCAAGTCCAAGCTTATGATTAGGATCCATAGGTGCAGTAACGGGTCGACAAGCACTCTTACCAGTCTCATTTAGCAAATCTGTAATGTACTTTTGTTGGCTGATAAAGATGCCTTCAGATGAGCGAGCAACTTCAATTCCAAGAAAGTATTTTAGAGGGCCAAGAGACTTCATCTCGAATTGGGATTTCAGCTGCCCCTCAAGACGTTGTTTCTCAACTGGATCACTACCGGTCACAATGATGTCATCCACATATACTAAAAGAATAGTGATTCCATTTGGTTGAGAGTGTTTGTAAAAAAGAGTATGATCCCCTTGGCTTTGACTATACCCGGCAGCAAGAACAACCTGTGTGAATCGGTCAAACCAAGCACGGGGGGATTGCTTGAGACCATAAAGGGCTTTTTTAAGTCGGCATACATGTGTAGAGGCACTTATTGATGTTTTATTGAAGCCTGGGGGAATGTGCATGTAGATCTCGTCATGCAAGTCACCGTGGAGAAAAGCATTCTTGACATCAAATTGCAGTAAAGGCCAATCAAAGTGAGATGCTAATGACAGTAGGATACGAACAGTATTGAGCTTAGCTACAGGAGCAAAGGTCTCTTGATAGTCAATCCCATACGTCTGAGTGTATCCTTTAGCCACAAGACGAGCTTTGTACCGCTCAAGAGATCCATCAGCATTGTATTTGACAGTAAAGATCCACCTGCAACCAACAACATGCCTCCCAGGAGGTTTAGTCACAATATCCCAAGTATGGTTCTTTTCAAGAGCTCTAATTTCCTCTTGCATAGCATCCCTCCATTCTTTCTTTCCTAATGCCTCAGAAACAGAGTTGGGTATGGGAATTTCATTAAGTCTCTGAACAAACAAGGCATGTGAAGGAGAGAAATTATCAATGGTAACAAAATTAGCAAGAGGGTATAGAGGTGTTTTGGTACATTGACGTACACCCTTGCGTAAAGCAATTGGCGGAGATGGTGGAGGAGAAGAAGAGACATTACCTGGGTCAGCCGATTGGTCATGCGTCAACAACGGAGTGAACCTATTTTTTCTTGAGTACACTTTTGTCACTGGTAGAGGAGAAGGTGGGTCATGAGTGGTGGATTTAGTAGGTGTAGGAATGGGATATTCTGGTGATGGATTTGATTGAGGTTCAGGTAATGTTGAAGACTGTTGGGAAGTAGGTGAGGTTGCTGACTCATCTATAGAAGGTGATGGATGATCATGTGGCAGTGGTAATAATGGGATGTCTGGTGATAAAGGCTTAGGAGAGTAGGAGATTGTATGTGCTGGAGGAGATGTGGGAAGAGGTGAAGGATGTGGAGTATCTTGGGAAACAGAGAGAGAAGTAGGAGTGTGAAAAGGTGTGTCTTCGTGAAAGGTCACATCTGCACTGGTGTATGTCTTTCTGGTTGTAGGATTATAGCACTTATATCCTTTCTGAGTTGGAGAATAACCTAGAAAGATACACTTAATAGATCGTGGGTCCAATTTTCCCCTATGAGGTGGAGGAATATGAACAAATGCAGTACACCCAAACACCCTTAGATCAAGATCAGAAGAAATTCTGGTTTGAGGAAAGAAGCAACAGAGAGATTCAAGGGGTGACTTATTTTGGAGTACACGACTGGGAATTTTATTGATGAGATGACATGCTGTGAGTGTGGCTTCCCCCCAGTAGTGTTTAGGCATATTTGATTGAAACAATAAAGCCCGACTGACTTCAAGGAGATGGCGATTTTTTCTTTCTGCTATGCCATTCTGTTGTGGTGTGTATGGACAAGAGGACTCATGAACGATGCCTTTTGAGAGAAAATAAGAGGAAACAGTTTGATTGAAGTATTCAAGAGCATTATCAGTGCGGAAACGTTTTATAGTGGTGGAGAACTGATTATGAATCATATTGCAAAAGATGGGAATGATGGAACTCACCTCACTCTTGTTTTTTAGCAGAAAAACCCACATAAAACGTGTACAATCATCAATAAATGTAACATACCACCGGGCACCAGATATATTAGCAATTGGAGCAGGGCCCCAGACATCACTGTGTATAATATCAAAAGGAGAACAACTGATTGTATTACTTCTAGAAAAAGATACACGAGACTGTTTAGCAAGTTCACAGACATCACATTGAAATGTAGAAACATCAACACTACCAAAAAGACTAGGAAATATGGTTTTTAGGACATGAAAAGAGGGATGACCAAGCCGCTTGTGGTGAAGCCAAATAGTGTTGGTATTGGCTGTGATTGAGGTAAGAGCTTTTTGTGGAGGTTTGGAGACAAACAGTGCATCAAGGTAGTACAGGCCATCTCTTTGTTTAGCAATTCCAATCGTCCTCCCCGTGCGTAGATCCTGTAATAAACAGTGGGAAGGGAAAAAAATGGCAGCACAATTAAGATCAACAGTGAGTTTGTAAATAGAAGCTAGGTTCATAGCCAGGTTTGGGACATGTAGGGTGTTTTTCAGATTTAATTTTTCAGAAAAAACAACCGTACCAAGTCCTGCAACCTCTGTAGGTGTCCCATCAGCAATAGTAATGTGTGTGGATGTAAAACATGGACGATAGTTAGAGAGTAAAGAGGGTATGGCAGTCATATGAGATGTGGCACCTGAGTCTAAGATCCATTGGGATTGTGGACTCTGTTCCGAAGCATTAAGACAAAAAATAGTAGAGGTTTTACCTTGCAGGGCCAAGGAGCTATGATAACAATGGGAGGCTGGCCAATAAGACAACCAGCTTTACTCTTTTGAAGAAGTAAAATATGAGAAGGCAGTGTGATGGAGTAAAACACTGCCTTCTCATATGACCAGCTTTACATAAGCTTGTAAATGAATCATTTACAAGAGTAAAATATTTTCTCCAACACTTCAAAAAATGCAAGTAGGAAGAGGCTGGCAAGGCATATTAGGTGACACTGCCTTCTTGAGAAGTGAGATGTGAAACACTGGGTGCACAGTATAATCCTCGGGTAGTTTCAGTTTGAAAGCTACTGGGTTTATTTTCTCCAACACTTCAAAAGGTCCATTGAACCTAGGACTCAGTTTTTTATTTATCCTTTTAGCTAAACTTTTCATCTTGTGAGGTTTAATCTTCAAGATCACTTTGTCCCCCACCTCCACTTGTACCGGCCTTCAGTGCTTATCAGCTTGTTGTTTCATTCTATTTTGAGCCACAACCAAACTCTGCTTCAATTCTTCCAACATAAGATTTCTCTCGGCAGGCAACTTGTTGACTTCCTCCACTGTTGTGACACCTACATCTCCCTTAATAATAGTTGGAGGATCTTGTCCATATAGAGCTTTGTATGGGGTATTCTTCAGTGCAATATGGTAATTCGTGTTATACGAATACTCAGCCCACGAAAGCCATTTAGGCCACTGTTTAGGTTTCATTCTAGTGACACATCTCAAATAAGTCTGCAGGCACCTGTTTACCACCTCAGTTTGACCATCCGTTTGCGGAAGATAAGTTGTGTTATATTTCAGTTTTGTGCCACCCAACTTGAACATTTCAGACCAAAAAGAGCTCAAAAAGATCATATCCCTGTTGAGACTATGGATTTAACAAATCCATGAAGTCTTACCACTTCTCGTATAAAAATTTATGCCACATCCTTGGCTGTATAAGGATGGGCAAGGGCTAAAGTGGGCGTATTTGGTGAGTTTGTCCACCACCACCAAAATATTATCCTTTCCTTGAGCTTGATGAATGCCCCCAATGAAATCCATACTGAATTCAATCCATATATGTTTTGGAATGGGTAAGGGTTGTAGTAATCCCGCTGGACTCAAGGTTTGATATTTGTTTCTTTGACATACTTCACATCCCCGCACATACTCCTGTATGTCAGTTCTCATGCCAATCCAATAAAACAAAGCTGAAATCCTTTTCATAGTTCTCAAAGGCCCGACATGCCCACCTATTGTTGAATCATGGAACTCCTTCAGAATTATGGG